TTTAATTGATGATGCAACTTTGGATGTGACATCTTGGTTTGCTTTTCACGGACTTTGCCTTCCTCAATTTTCAGCTTGGAATACTTTTGACTCCTTCCTTTGATATGAATTTCTTCATACCTTTCAAAAGTAAATGATCAAGTTTTAGATGCAGTAAATTCACTTTAACTTCTTTTGACATCAAGCTTGTGGATGAGCAATTTGTTTCTTGAGGAATCCATAAGTAACAATTATCTTTTAATCCGGCTCCCTTCATGATAACTCCATTCTTCTCATTTGTCTAATCATACCTTCCCCAATCATACCATAATATTTTCTTTCCTTTACTGATTTACCTTCTCCATCTTTGTCTAAATTAACTAAATCTCCCATGGAAGTTCAGTCTGGATTTGCTTTTTCCATTATGGATTTTTTAGTAACTCTTTTTAATACTTAGCTTAGTTTATGAATGTGCCTTTTTTATCGATGTATTTGAAATCCAAGAAAGTATTAAATCTGAATCAACATATACATTTTTAATTTATTTTGAATCATATCACAAAAATCCTTACATAGCACCAAATATGATGTCATCAACATAAATTTGCACAAGTAAAATGCCATGTTCATATTTTTTGATAAAAATGTTGAATCAACCTTTTTTCTTTGAAAATTGTTTTCAAGCAGAAACTTTCTTAAACATTCATACCAAACGCAATGGGCTTGTTTCAAACCACAAAGAGTCCTTTTCAACTTGAAGACATGATTAGGAGAAGACAAGGTTCTAAATCCGGGAGGTTAATCAACACATACTTACTTTTTGATGTAATCGTTTAAAAATAAGTCAGTTACATCTATTTAGAAGAGTTTGAAATTCATGATGCATGAAATATCTAAAAGCATTCTTATGGCTTTTAATATAGCTACACGGTGGAGGTGTATTTATAAAAAGTCTCTTGTTAAAAACAAAAGTGTTTGTACTCATTATTATATCTCATGAGGCAATTAGTCTTATAATAAGAGTTAGATTTTGATGCCACTTGTTAGACAAGTGACTCCAAACACAAGAGGGAGTGTGTGAATTTAAAAAACAATGTCCGGTTATAAAAATATTGATTTATAAAAATGTTTAAATAAAATTTATAAATCAAATAAAGAATAGGCAGCATAAAAATTAAAATAAAGATAACCATAGAGAAGAGATAGAAATGTAACGGAAAGTAATAAAAAGCTTAAATGTAAAGAGATATAAAACTATTTAAATAAAATTTATAAATCAAATAAAGAATAGGCAACAGAAAAATTAAAATAAAGATAATCATAGAGAAGAGATAGAAATGTAGCGGAAAGTAATAAAATGCTTAAATGTAAAGAGATAAGGGAAGAGAGAAATGCATCAACAATTTATACAAGTTCGGTCTAATCATTTGGCTTACTCTTATCCCTAAGAATTTTTCTAGAGTTTCTATTATATGATATGTGAGCTTTTCACATGTTATGTCCATAAAACTTCTTACAACCAAACATAAGATTTTACACATACTAATCCCCAAACCAAACACAATATTTAGCATCGGGATAATCTCAAAATAAATTGAGCTTTTACACCAGGCTGGACTCTGGAACGAAACATAATTTTGACATCTAAACTCAATAACAAAACGCGAGCTTTCAACAGGTTTAACTCACAAATCTAAACAGAGATTTTACCTGGCTAATCTCAAGAACCACACATAGTTTTTAATTGGTTTAGCTTAAGAACCAAAAAAACAACTTCTTATGTTGATATTACACCTGAGACAGTGCCCTTTTGAGTAATTTACAATATTCTTACAACACCAGAGCAACAAAAGCATCACAAATATTTTTGACTTTCAAATCACTAAAGTAATTTCGTGAAGAAAAAGAAAGAAATGAAGTAAAGGGAGTGAAAGTGAGAAAATATTATACAAATATGTTTTTTGGTGTGTTTTGAAATGAGGATAAACCTTTTATTTATAGGAGAAAAAGTTAGGCTAAAAAAGGAAATAAATTCATGGGTGTTTTAATGATTTAATTGATTAATATCTAGCTCTAATCGATTAGAAAATTAAAAATGACACAAAACCTATAAAAAAAACTCTACAATGTTTATGTATCTTAATTGATTTTGAGTATTCTTAATCGATTAAAAAGATTTTTTTTCTTACCTTAATTGATTGGAATAAATCCCTAATCGATTAGGAAGTATATAAATTCCTCATAAATAATTAGGAACACTATTGGCCAATTCCATATGCATATTGATGGTTCCTTTATAGGTTTTAAGATATTTTAGCAAAAGTGAGCGGTTTAATTTTTTTTTTTTTAAGTATGTGTGTTGGTTTCCTTAGTAGTTTAAGATTCACTCTTATATCTTTACAATACACTGATCACTCATACACAGTTCAGGAAAATTTTCACATCTTTCTCTCTTTCACAACCTTAAAATTTTAAAATCAATTTTTTTATTCATCATTGATTAAACACTTCATCTGAAACTTGACTTCTTCTAACTGATGAGGCTTGTTAAAGTTTCTCATCAAACATTACTTGACTAGAAATCATCAGGGATTCCATTGATCACTTCTTGACATTAGGTGTTGTCTTTATTCAATCTGACTTGGTATCTTGATCTTGCATACAAAACATCTTGATCTTGATAGATCATCTTTGATTATTACTACTTCTTGAAGATAAAAATTTCACATCATATTGATATATAGTGTTGTCATCATTAAAATTATAGTGAACATATGAGTGTTGTAGATATTTATACATGCAAGCACATAGATCCATAACACACTCATTAAAAAAGACTTATCTTTAATGACGGTGGTTTATGAAAGGTGATCACTGAGATATATCCATTTCGACATAATTGTGAAGTGATTTAGGAATAAATTAATAAAGACGATTACAATATGAAATTACACCTTACAAAATAAATGTGTCGTATTACTTATGACCTTGTCTACAAAAGGGGTTTAAAAAGTGAATGAAAGAGGCCAAATCTACTCCAATTGATGGTCTAACATTATTCTTTGAGACCATATGTTGTTAGTACATTGTTAGATCTAGGGGTATCAACATGGATGGAGTTATGAAACAAAATGGTAGAATATATTACATACCCTTAAGTATTTAGAAATTAACTTTTCATCCCCATATTATATATATGACATTCTTCAAATGGTATGAAAAGACTAAATTGTTTAGATCTAAATTATTCGCGACAAATTTCAAATTTATGTGACCAATCGTATTTTTTAAACTTTTGGACGATACCAGAAATTTTGTGAACAAGTGAGAATTTACGGTAGATTTGTGAAATTTTCGATATTTTGTATCGAAAATTTCAAAATATCTGATTTTTTCATACTGGAAATTTCAAAATATCTGGTATTTTTATTTATCATTTATACCGGAAATTTTCGGTATGTCACAGAATATCGGAAATTTTGAAATTCTTGGTAGTTCAGTTTATTTGAAAAATACCAGAAATTTAGAAATTTCCAATAGTTTATATTTTTCTAATATTTTCTTATTTTGCAGTGAGAACCAGAGGTAGAGATGGTTCTATTGTAGGACAAACTACTGATAGAGTTAATACTGAAGTCTGAGTTGACAAGGCGCAAGCTTCAGAGATACGGGTTGGACGTCATCCTTCGACTGATTCTCACCGGAAACGGATGACTGAGTAGCAAGCGCAATTTCGCGCACCTCGCCATCGGGGCGTTAGAGCCGTTTAAAAAACCATGTTTTTATAACTACCAAAAATCAGAACCATTCAAATATGTCGACAAAATCTTAGCTATTTAAAAAATCATGTTTTTATAACTACCAGAAATTTCAGTTAATTTGAAATTTCCAGTACACCAGAAATTTTAAATACACTACCAGAAATTTACGCATACCTGAAATTTTATAGGGGTGTACCGGAAATTTGGGTGGTATCAAAAATTTCAATCTTTCTATCAAAAATTTTGTCCGAAAATAGTGTGCATTTCATCCAAGAGTAAAAGTGAAATAAAAAAAATTGGAGGGTGGCATGTTTAATTTAGGGGGTGTCATGTTAATTTTTCTAAATATTTAGTTTTAGAGAATTAGAGTTAGCAGCTTAACTCTTACTTAGCCAATAAAAAAGAAGAATTTCTTAATGCATTGTAAGTGTTTCTTAGCCACCTTTATGATTTTTCAAAAATGTCTTCAAAAATTATAAATGTATTTCCGATGCGTATCCTATACACATTCGTTTTTGAAACTCACCTTATATTAAAATCGAAAATACATTTCTGATACAATTTTATATTATAAAATTCTCTAAAAAAAAGTATATTTCTGATTTTTTTTTATTTTTTAGAGTTTTTTTTTTTCTTGTCAAGAGTGTCATACGAAATTCTCAAAAAAAAAGAAAAAAGTTAGGCACCTTAGTGATTATTAATGCAACAAGACCATAATGACAAAATGAGTTAACAATAGATAAGAAATTTTGGTATTAAAAAATGGACGGTTTGGACCCAAACCGAAAATATGGACGGCTACTTTCAGAGGGAATTCAATTTCGCTCATCTGTCACAAGTAAAAATCTCATAACTTCAAGTCGGTACTTTTCTCGATCATTCACTCTCATTTCTTCATTTATTGAAAACCTCTGATTCTCTACTCACAAAAAATAGCTGTCAAATTAATTTTGAATATCTTGATTCTTTTTTCCTCTAAGATATAATATTGCACACTGAGTGTTTGATAAAATGCTCAAACGAGGCTGTAATACTGTTTTTGCATGGGTTTGATTGTGTACACTGCTATTTAAATTCTCTATTTTTTTCAAGATTATTATATAAGGCTTTGGTTTAATATTCAGGTTTTGCTCTTGTGCAATCTTGTTTGGTTCTTATCCATTGTCATCGTTATTCATAACTCGTTATTTTGGAATCTGGTTTGGATCAGGCCAAAGTTGGGCAACCACACGTACATTCTTCAGATTATAAACAACTTAAATGTATTCAATTACTTGCCAGTGTATTCGGCCACTTTCCAATTCTTCACCAGTAGTGGAAGCTAATGATAAGCATAATGATGTGAGACATGTTAATTTTGCAAAGATCCCTTCATGGGTCACTTTGAAAACCAGTCATTCTTCGTTAGAGACCCATAAAACTCAAAAGGGCCAAGTTGAAAACTTGCATTTGGTTTCTTTAGCCAAACAAGGGAAGCTTAGAGAAGTGCATGAATTTATCAGAAGCATGGATGAAGCAGGTATTTCCACCGATTCCCGATCGTACGAATACCTCTTTAAAATGTGTGGAACTTTGGGAGCTTTGTCTGATGGAATGTTATTTCACAAGAGACTGCAGAGAATGGATAACAGAAATAACCTCATTGACAATTGCATCCTCCAAATGTATTGCGACTGTAAGAGTTTCAAAGCTGCAGAGAGATTCTTCGATAAAATGATTGATCGGGATATGTCCTCTTGGGCAATCATCATATCTGCTTATGCTAAGAAAGGCCGTGTAGATGAAGCTGTTAGATTGCTCTTGCATATGCTGGATTTGGGTATCATGCCGAGCTCCTCTATCTTTTGTAATCTTCTAAGGTCCTTTTCAGATCGTTCGGTGTTAGACCTTGGCAAACAGATACATTCTCAGCTGATAAGGATTGGGTTTACTTCTGATGTTTCAGTTGATACGTTAATTTCCAATATGTACGTCAAGTGTGGGTGGTTGGAGGGTGCTGAAGTTGCCACCAATAAGATGACTTGGGAAAATGCTGTGGCTTGCACTGGACTGATGGTGGGTTATACTAAAGCTTCAAGGCACGGGGATGCTCTGTCGTTGTTTGTCAAGATGATAAGTGAAGGTGTAAAGTTGGATGAGTTTGTCTTCTCAATAGTGCTTAAGGCATGTGCTGCTTTAGAAGACCTACGCACCGGAAGGCAAATTCATAGTTACATTGTAAAACTTGGCTTGAAATCTGAGGTCTCGGTTGGTACTCCGCTAGTGGACTTTTATGTTAAGTGTGCTAGGTTTGAAGCCGCGCATCAAGCTTTTGAGAGCATAAGTGAACCAAATGATTATTCATGGAGTGCTATAATCACTGGATATTGCCAAAGTGGTAGATTCGATAGGGCTATTCAAACTTTTAATAAAATAAGAAGAAAAGGAGTGTTATTGAATTCATTCATCTATACCAACATCTTTCAATCATGCTCTGCTGTCTCAGATTTAATTTACGGTGCTCAAGTTCACGCAGATGCAATAAAAAAGGGGCTAATTCAATGCCTCTCTGGAGAGAGTGCTATGATCACTATGTACTCAAAATGCGGCAAACTGGACTCCGCTCATCAAGCATTCTTGGCCATAGATAAACCTGATACTATTGCATGGACTGCTATAATTTGTGCTTTTGCTTACCATGGCAAAGCTTCTGAATCCCTGAGACTTTTCAACGAGATGCTGCGGTCCGGTGCAAAGCCAAATGCTGTCACTTTCATAGGTTTGTTAAATGCCTGTAGTCATGCAGGTTTAGTTAAAGAAGGGAAGAAGTTTTTGGATACAATGAGTAACAAGTACGGTGTGAAACCAACTATTGATCATTACGATTGTATGATTGATATTTACTCTCGTGCTGGATTATTACAAGAGGCACTGGATATGATAAGGAGTCTGCCATTTGAACCGGATGCAATGAGTTGGAAAAGTTTATTAGGTGGGTGTTGGAGTCATCGGAATCTCGACATTGGGATGATTGCAGCTGAAAAAATCTTTCAATTGGATCCACTAGACTCTTCTACTTATGTAATGATGTTCAATTTATGTGCTTTGGCTGGGAAATGGGATGAAGCGGCCCGATATAGAAAGATGATGGCTGAAAGGAAGTTGAGGAAGGAGCTAAGTTGCAGCTGGATTATTGTGAAGGGTAAAGTCCATCGTTTCATTGTTGGTGATAGACACCACCCTCAAACAGAACAGATATACTCAAAACTGAAACAGCTTGACTTAGCTATCAAAAAGAGTGAAGAGGGTCTTCTTGATGAAGAGGATGATGCTGTGTGTAACTTTACTGAGAGGGAAGAGCAACTTCTTGATCACAGTGAGAGACTAGCTATAGCCTATGGTTTGATTAGCACGACAGGCGAGACCCCGATTTTGGTATTTAAAAATACTCGATCTTGCAAAGATTGTCATGAGTTTGCAAAGAAAGTTTCAATCGTAACAGGTCGTGAGTTAATTGTGAGAGATGCCAACAGGTTCCATCATGTTAATTCAGGGAAATGTTCTTGCAATGATTATTGGTGATTTTGGCCTAGTTATCTTCAAAGTTTAAGCTGTATCATTTTTTCTTATACCTGCATCAGTTAAAGTATTATGAATTGGTGATAGGTATGATGCTGCCCTTTATGTACTCCTTTAGAGCATTGTTTACCATATACATAATAAATAAACAGTTTGAAGTATCTATTTTAAATATAATAAAACTAATTATTACCATAATTACGTTATTAACCAAACATGGATTTGCAAGGACAATTAGGTAATAACAATCCCTAATCATTTCTTTAATTTTAACTTTTTTATTTACTGCATGATAAAGCTATTATTTACTGTATGATATAACAATAATCACTTCTGGTAAGAGATGGTCTTTCATTTGAAAGCATCCGAATCATCTTTTTACATATTTTTCTCTGTTTTGATTTAGTCTTAGTCTACATCTGCATATCTGTGTTTCGATTTCCAAAATGTTTAAACAGGATAACAGGCCCCAGAAGCAGAAGATCTTATCCAAGCATTTTGTCGTTGGATTTTTTCCTTTATTTTCCTTATTGTATATTTCATTTGTGATTGTAGTTTGTAAATCGTTTCAAATTGGTAAAATCTAGGTATTGGGATATGGAAGGGAAAGGGTTTCGATTTGTTTGCTTTTGTTAATCCTTTTATTGTTTGATTGTTTTTGTGATGCTTGATCATTCTGGTTTTTGTTTGACTTTGTTAAGTTGTTTGGATGATCGAGAGAGAAGAGAGTCATAAGGGTTTCAGTTTTCTCTGTTTTTTCGTATGTTATGAGAGAGCGTTGAAAAGGTTGATGAGAGAGAAGCATATGTAGAGAGAACATTATTGTTTTCCTCTTTTAATGTTTTTTCAGAATATTAAATGAAAGATTATTGTGTGTAATACGGTGGTAGAACTGACTGTTATATTGGTTTTGTGTTTGTATTCGCAAATGTTGCGGTAAGCAAGAGTCATCACCGACTTTTCTTTTATCCAATAAAGGAAACGGTGAAAAGAACAGAAAAAGACATTTCGAGATTATTTGAGTAAGGGGGTAGATTATGGAAAGGGAAGGTGTTAACACCCTTTCCATCCGTAGTTATCTACGAGTTCTTAGTTGCTAGCTCATTTTAAAAATACATTGTATTTATATATTTGAAAAAGTAATTTGAAAAGACGTCTTAGTGCGACGAACTTTGTAATGTTTCTCGTATTGTTGAGAACGTATATAAAGTGTTTTGAAAATGTTTTCGGAAAGAGTTTTGTGAATGTGAAAAATTGTTTTTTGAGCAAGCATCTAAGAAATATCTACTTTACTCGAAAGAGTTTGTTCTTTTCCTCTTTTCTTTTAGACAGTGCTATCCTATTATTAGTGAGTAGGTAGCCATATCGTCGGATGTTCGAGGGACATTCGAAGGGTCATCGTTACAGTCACAAAGGCAATTGGGCAAGATACTTTAGTAACCACCCTACAGTTTTAAGATCATACCGAGGCAACATCGAGAGGGTCATTTTTAGATCTTTAAACCGGAGGGTAGCCACTAAAATCTCTCACGTTTCGAGAGTTGTGACTGTTTTATTCCGAAGACAACCGAAGTAGGGGTACCCTAGAGGTGCGCATGTGCGAGTGCGTTGTGTTTCAGTTATTTATCTTTGCGTTAAGTTTTCTAACGTTTTATTTTTAATCTCTTGTCATGCAATCCTATTACCATACATCTAAGTAATTAGTATATGTACAGGAATTAAAAGTGCGGAATTTAAAATCTAGATATTACATGGCTTCGGGGAGGGAGAATTTACAAGTCTAAAACTGGAAAAATAAAAAGGCAGTAAATAAAGTCCTAATTTTAACTATTACAATCCATAATCAGATACAATAATATGAAAATGATAAATGAAAACACTAAACGCGCGCGAATTAGAAAGGACGTCTAAAAATCCTAAGAAGTTTAAAGTGAAAGAAAATCTTTTTGTTGTTTTTGTTTATTTGGGGAAATATTAAACTAAATTAAATTAAAATCTAATTAATTAAAAATGAGAAAGAAAAGAAAATTATTAATTAAAATTAATTCTAAAACAAACTTAATATTTTTAGCATTTTTGTTTAGGAAATATTAAAAAATTTAACCTAATTCTAATTGTTTTTAATTTATGAAATGAAATTAAAATAATTAATTAAGTTAATTTATGAAAATAAAAAAACCAAAATCTAAATTTTTATGTGTTTTTTCTGATTTTATGATTAAAATAATAAAATTAAAAATTAAAAAGAAATGATTAAATAAAAAAAAGGATTTGGTGGGCCTGATGTTATCTAGCAAAGAGGGGGTATGAACCAAAACTTTGTTAGGCCCAAATCAGGGAGCCCAGACTATGTTGCGTGATCCCCTATGGTGGCCTTCAGGAGGTCTATCGTGGGTTGCGCGTGTAGAACGTTGGATCCAGGTCAACTGAGAACTGATGGTGTGGATCTGATGGTATATGGTGCGCACGTATAGCCTGTGAACACTGGATCTGCAATATAAACGTTAGAAAAAATAACATTTCAGACCTGGGTATCGAACCCAGGTCTCTTCCCAGTATACACGCTTGTGTTACCACCCAGCCAACATGTCAATCATTAATACAAACAACTAAATGACAATATATGTGAAACATCATGAAATGCTGAGGTGTACACGCGTGCGCTGTATTGGATCCCCCATAATTTGAATGAGCCAATCATAATGACAGATTTTGCCACGCAAGCTCTGGAGGGGTCAAACCACCATCCACGGTGGTTGACCACCTTCTTCTCCGACCACTTCAAAACCCTAACCTGCAAAATAGAGAGATTCGAAACCTCGGATCGAGCCTACCCCCCCCCCCCCCCCCCCCTAAATCGCATACTGCGAATCCAACCATGATATTGGTTTGGACTAAAAATGCTTGTACATGGAGATACAACCAAAACGTCACAGGCTGCCCTAGCAATGGTGTTTTTCTATTCATGCCTTAAACCTTACATGTAATACGTTAAAACAAACTTAAACAACAATACCAACATGGATTTATGCATCAAATCCATTTAAATGGCATGAATTGAAATATTAGAGCGTGAGAATATTAACCTACTGGAGCGATGAGGTTTGTTTGTTTTAGGATGCTTTAAGCGTCGAGAAGGGCTGGTATGCACTCCTGGGGTCCTCAGGGTGATGATGGAACCTTTTGAATGGATCGAGGGAAGCTAGATCGTGTGATACGAATTTCACTTTCTCTTTGAATTCTTTTTGAGTTTTTCTTAGGGTTTGGAGGCAGCTGCGCTTGTCTTTTCCACTCCTGAATTGTTGTGTATATATAAGGGCAAGATTAGGTTAACAAACACGGTACAAATCTTTGTACATTATGATGAAAATATATGATTTCAATCTTGAATAAAACTTGCTATATTTGATCCAATCATGTACCAATCTATTTCATGCGTTTTTTCCAGCTACCCACGAGGTCTTTGGGCCTCCAACATGATCAAATCTCAAGCCTTACATGTTTTATGCATTAACCTTGTATTTATTTAATTTATTTTGAATTTATTTGAATAAAAATCCAAAATAAATAAAATAAAAATCAAACTCATGCATGGATGGGTTTATAGGTTCTTAGATATATCTTGAACATGTTTGGGTTCTAAAAATCATGTCCATTAACTTTAAAAAGTGATTTTGTCCAAAGTTGACTTTATGCATTTTCACAAATTTTCCCAACTTATGAAAATCATAACTTGCTCAACTTTCATCCTTTTAAAATGATCTCGAACTTTTTGGAAAGCCCAAGATGCCCCCTACAATCTATATGTTTACCATTTTTGAATTTGGAGTATTTATCTTGATGTAAATTGCCTTGACAAAAGGTGTCTTTTTGTTGACTTTCAAAAAGACCTGTAATGTATTGGCTCATATCTTTTCAATGATGCATTTTTTGAACTAGAAGACAAAAGAAAAGTTGTAGGAAATTGAATTTTCTTCACAATGAGCTTTGGTTGGGGCAAAATGGATGAAACATGTGAAAGTTATGCATGGTCAAAGTTCAGTTGACTTTTCCTAGGAAACCCTAATTTTGCATTTTTGGACTCTTGATGGTTTGAGAGAATTCCTTGTGGAATCATGATCAATCCTTGATCAAATGATTTATATCACTTCAAAATATTGATGTTGACCAAAAAATTTGAAGTTTGATTGTATATTGGTCACAGTTGACTTTTGACCTATTATAGTTGATTTCCAAGCATTTGAGCAATTGACTGAGCAAGCTTGTAGTGCAAGGCATGAAACTTGGCATGGAAATTATTGAGGACATATTAGGTACCATGGAAATTACTTGAAGCCTTTGTAACCCAAAATTATTTGTGATAAGTGAAACCCTAGTTGGAATTCCATTGCTTAGGAGGAGAATTTGTCTGGCCAATTCTTGGTCATCCTTGAGCAATTGAGGACCTCAATGAGCATGTATTGAGTAAAATGGGAGGGAAAATTTTGGGGTACAACAGCTTCCCATGTTCAATCTTTTTAAACCTGAGAATTTAGATTGGCTTGTCTGCCTTTCGTAATCTGAAGGTGGAAGATGATTGAACACTAGAGTGCCCGGAAATTTGCACTCGCATATACATGAAGCAACGCTGTTGGTTGGCGATATTGGGAATGGGATTACATATGCCATTTGGAGAAGATGACATAGATTCGTCGGAGATGGGCTTATAGATTCCATCCAAAATAAATGTTGACTTCAAACTGGAGGAAACATCAGAATATATCTCTGGTTGATTTACTCTGAGCCATACGAAGTCTCTTTATGGGGAATCCTGTTCTTATTGTTTGAGAAGGACTCCGTTGGGGAATGTTGATTTATTTTGGGAAATAGAGTCTAGGATCTTTAGTTGTCCATTACTTTACTAGGGAGTTATCTCTTGACTGGAGAGATGAAAGTTAGTTGTTATCTGGTCGAAATCCAGGCTTCACAGTAACTTACTGAGGATAATAAAGTTGATTGTTATC